ATTCCTGGTCGGATTCTCTGCCTGGTGCCTGACACAGCAATATTCAGTGTGACTCATCAAGGAAAGCCCTGGAGGCCACAGATGTTCACCAGCAGAGTTGACATGTCACTGGGAAAATTTAGAAGCCTACTTTTTTGTTCTTACCAGCCAGGGATCATTCTACTCCTCACAGAAGGGGGCCACAGAGATGGTAAGATCATATATTCCCCCAAAAGTCTATTGAATCTGCTCAGACTCTTCAAGGATTTGTTTAAAGCTTAGTGCTCTGTACCATAGTTATAGAAGAGACCATTTTATCTTGAAAAAATATTGAGAGTTTTTCTTAGGTCACTTATAAATAGGTTTTTCTTAGGTCAAAGTGACTAGCATAAGCTATTTATAAGGTGTCTGTAGAACACTTATCCTGTAGCGTTGTTGTAAGGATTGCAGTAATATATTACAGTGTCTACTGCATAATGAATGCTCAATAAATTACAGCTTTTATCATCTCCCAATCTAGACTGCAGACCCCTTAAGGGTATCAGATTATGTTTTCTCTACCAAGTTTAGATATTTATAAGTCTCTAAGCATGCACGAGATAGTATTCAATAAAACAATTCCAGCTTTATAAGTGATAGGAGATACTAGAACGAATGACCTTTATCAGGCTTGCAGAATTAGAGGTCCTGTCTATGACCGTGTTACTGAGCAAAGTGACTGGGTTACCAGAGAATCAGATACCAGTCTTAGGAGGTTAAAAGCTTGGGACCTGGAGTCAGACCCCCGGGTTTGAATTCTGGTTTCAACCCTCGTTAGCCAAGTTCTTGATGACGTTGCTTAATCCCTCTCAACTCAATTTCTTTGTCTGCAAACTGGATGTGTTCAATGGATTAATGAAATAAGGCATAGACAATCCTTAACTAGAACCTGGTACTTTATAAAGGTTCAATTAAGGCTTGATATTATTATTTTTGGCTTTATTAGCATTGTTCTGACTCATGCACTAACTTCTAGAGGAAGTGACAATGGCCAGCAGGTCACATGCAGCAGAAATGAGGTGACTCAGTTTGGTAGGGAGCACAGGACGTCCAGGAAGGAGCACAGATGAAGCCAAGGGCAACAGTCTTTGGAAACAGCCACAGCCACTTCCCGATGGAGAGCGCACACTTGGGCCGTCTCTCAATGCATCGGAAGTCGACCAGCCCTTCTTTATTCAACATTGTGTGCGATAGCTGTGGGAGTCTCGGAGGAAGCGAGAAGAGCCTTTGAGGAACCTGCAGTCTGGGTGGAGAGAAGTCTAGTGAAAGAGATGGAGACTGATGTTACATCATTGAGTTCTAACTTGCGTGGGTCAGCCTGTGCTCGCAGTGGGAGTTACAGGAGAGAGAGCCAGGTGGCTGTTCCACACCATTCTTCTAGAGGAATGTAAGGCCATTAGCCACAACACCTTCTAGTGTAATTAGCAGTGACGATATCTTGTCTACCAACATAAAAGCCACACTGTTTAATTCCAGCAACAAACCAAAATATAACTAATATGTGAAGAATCAGGGAGTAGATTATTCAGCAAAAGTACAGGAGTTACGAAAGATTGCTTTACAATACTTTTTCCCAGTTCAGATCAACAACAGTTTACTGACCAACCTAGAAGTTGGTAGCAGGGACTGTGCCAGGCCGATGAGACTCAGGAGGAAGAGACGGTCCTGCCCTCCAGGGCCGGTTCACATTCACATTCTAGTAGCAGTCCTAGCTCCTTTATGTGCTCAGGCTTGTGGTAGAAACAGTCTAAAATAACAAATTGGGTAGATGAGAGTACATCAGAAAAAAAGAAACAAAAACATGGCATTGCGTGGACACTGCCTGAGGCCTAAAGTGTGTCCAGACATAGACACGGCCCTAGGCCCTGAAGTGTGCCATTGCATGGACACTGCCCCAGGCCCTGAAGTGTGTCATTACATGGACACTGCCCCAGGCCCTTAAGTGTGTCACTACATGGACATGGCCCGAGGCCCTGACATGTGTGATTACATGGACACTGCCCCAGGCCCTGAAGTGTGGCACTGCATGGACACTGCCCCAGGCCCTCAAGTGTGGCACTGCATGGACAAGGCCCCAGGCCCTGAAGTTTGTCATTGCATGGACACGGCCCCAGGCCCTGAAGT